TGTTAGTAAGTTAAAAGTACTTATTAGCGATAGATCGTTTATTTCATTCGTTTCTTTATTTTACACGTTTCTGTTCGTTTCTCAAATATGCCAATAATTTTCTGACTAACTGTAGCTTTCGTCTTTAACCATCCCTTACCTCCTTACTACCCCGACTCCAACAACCCCCTTTAACCCACCACCGTTTTCCAACGTCGACCTTCTACAGTGGCTCCCTCTGGCTGCTTCGTCTCTCGTTTTCCACGCTTTTCTTCTTCTTTCTTCGCGTTTTCGTCGACGGCGAGAGCCGGCAACCCCCCTATACCGAACTCACCCCATCCGCTTTTATCCTTTGTGTAAGCTCAGCCTCCGGTTCTAGCGTCCCGACGTGTCAGGGCTCTACCGGTCGGATATCTCGCTGCACTTTTACCCATCGCGGTTAAACCACTCCGTATCCTTTCTTTATCGGTGCTCGGACTCGATTCTCTGCTCTGCCCTCTCTCACTCGACTTGTTTCCACCTTCTCCGTCCCCTCACTTGCATTTCTGCTAACTCTTGTCCTTTTCCTTTTTCTTCATGGTGGCTCTCGTTTTATGGCAGTACGGAATTCGCGCATTTTATATCAATTCATAGTGAATATGCGAATTTACTACCCTAATTATAAATTGTTCTTAAATCTCGAAGAACTACTTAATAAATGCCTTAGCTCGGAAGTCATATAAGCATTAATATAACGAATTCTGATTTGCTATGCTTCATTCAGTACCGTAAGAATGGCTTCTTCTTATTTCATGCGCAGTAATACATAGCGGACACACACTGCGATTCAAATGAATTTTCGGTGTTCTTTGATCCTATTATTCCGGAAGCCGAACCACCCCCGCCACTCGTCCAGGTGAGATGGTTTATTCGCGCAGTCAGAGATCCTTTCAGTGTTTTGTTCGAAAAGCAATTCGTATTGCACCGGATGCTGTCATTGGGGAATTCTTATAAGTAAAACGTACAAAGTGAAACGAAGAATGAAGAATGTATTTAGATGGTCTTCTAAATTGGTATTCTTTAAAAATACCGTGTTTATTTTATATTTTACCGTGTTTGAAATTTTGCATTCGAGAAAATCTTGAATTTCCTAGGTTGTCAAGTTCACCGACAAATGACGGTTTCTGTTAAGGAAACGAATGATAATACTCGTGTTAGCTAATTAGATGGATCATCCTGTATACGTAGCTCGGCTACGAGCGGTATAGCTGTATCTAACCGGAAAATTGGAAGGCAAGGTGGCCCAGTTTCGGACTCGAGGAACGAAATTTATTTCATTAGAAACGTTTGTGCGCGCCCGACGTAAACGGATCCTTGAACCGTTTTCGATTTAACCTTCGAACTCGTTGAGTGAAGCTCCAAAGGAATGAAATTTTTCGGTTCACTTTAGTGGTTAACGATCAATTTCACCAAGCTTTGAGAAACTTTAAGTTTCGAATTCTTTTCGTGACAGTACGAGAAACGCTTTAATTAACAAAATAATAATTTTATCAAAGTCCCTTTGTTACGTGTACACAATCGATAACCTTTGAATTCTCCGGGTCACTGTATATGTATCGACCGATTTCACTTGTAAAACAGAAAGAATGAAAATGTATATTTCAAATTTTTGGAAAATCCTATAAGTCTAGGCGATGCCATAAAGTTCAACGAAAAACAAAAAGGAAAAAAGGAATAGTAAATCGATTGGGCACATCTACGCGACTTCCTTTGATGTAAATTTAGAAAGAAAAAGATTAATCATGAATTTCAAACGTTTCGTGATAATCTAAAGGATCCATCTCTTCTCCGCTCCCCGCGAGTCGCTTTAATTATACCAGAAATGGGATGAAACGATAACAGAATTCAGTTATTCAACCACGCCCCACAGAGAACAGTTGAAAACCTGGTCGAATCGCCGGAAGGGTGTTCCATCGTCGTGGAAAGTTCGGAAAGACCGCGGGTCCGCGTCGTCGTGTTTATAATTACGAGCTTACAAAAGAATATAACTCCGAAAAATTGTAGGCGGCGTAAGGGGGAAATTCGTCCACAAAGAACCCAGCTCCCGGCTGCGTTACAAAGAACCAACCGTTTACTCGCCGCCAAGGGAGAGGCGTAGCCCGCATGCCGGTTGAAAAAAAAAATTTTAATAAATCTCGTCGAGCGTTAAATTACTCGTCGCCTGTGCCAGCTACGTTCCTTTCCCCTCTCTGAAAACCAGACCCATCCCTCGATTATCGTCCCTTCGTTTCTTTACCCGTTCACGTGTCCGATTATCTTTCTTAAGAAGAAACATAAACTATTACATAAAAATTCAAAAAAGAAAACAAGGGACAGAGAAGTGATTTGGGTCTGAGAAGACCCATCTAATCCGAGTCAGGCGAGTGTTAAGCGCTTAATTAGAAGGGAACAGTTGGTCGCGATTCGCCAACGAAACAAAGACACGCGAACCAGAGGACGGACGTTGAAACGGTAACAATTAATAGAGAGAAAGGAGAGAGCGAGGTGAATTGGAGAATGGAAAGAGGTAGAGAAGTGAAGAGAGAGAGTGAGAGAGAGGTGAGACGAAGCGAGTCGTAAGTGCAGTAGAAGAGCAGTTGGACCACCTGCCGACCGTAAAACCGATTTGGCGACGCTTCTGTGCCTGAGAGGTATTCAACGCGGCTGTCTGCAACGGACTTTGTAATTTAGAGTCAATCTCCTTTATTATCCGTAATGCGCTGCTCCGTTCCCTGAGATTCTTGCGTAAAATCTATCTTTCCAAAGGAGAGAAGGAGAGAGAGAGTCACGAGCGTCCGTTCGTTGGCGTTTCTACTCGCGAGGAAAATTCTCAGGTTGCGAAGCAGCCATCTCTGCAGGAAATAAGGACAACCTCTTCCTCCTGCAGCTCTTCCGCGTCCTTTTACCTCGGTCCAGAGATACTCGATAAGAGAAGAAGCTTCGGGTTACTTAATACCTTGGGCTCGTCTTCGAAGAAGCTACCCTTCGCTGATCGAACTCGAACTCTTCTTACTGCCAGAGTCAAGTTGGTTCAGTGTTAGTTCGCTCTCCTAGCTTCTTCTTTTGTTCTTCCCGTTTTTCTATCCCCCACCCATCTTCTGTCACCGTGAAATTGCATCTCGATAATCAAGGAGAATAGCGACCATTCGATGAACGGCTGCGACTGATTTGACATCTGATCTCTGATTACCGCGACCTCTCTTTGTCGACCGCTCTCTCCTTTCTTTTTTCGTCCTTTGGAGGACGTCTTTGTACAATCGCTCGTTGCAAGATCGACGATATTTTGCTGCGGAACGAGTCATTGTTCGCTTTCCGAGGAGGAGGTTGATCAGGAAGTAGCTACGGATTTATGAGCGATTTTTCTTCCTATTTTATTCGAGGGTTGGAGGAGAACGCGAGACAAATTGCAACACTTGGTGATTCGATGTAGATATTCTTCTTCGAAGACTAATTCCGTATAGCAAATTATCGAGTCACCTCGTATATAAGGAGAATTAAAGAAAAAAGGAAAGGAAAATGAAAAAGGGCGGAAAGGAGTCAGCGGAGGATATCTGAACCGAGGTCTAGCGAGTGTTCGCGTCGTCGCTATTTACACGAGCGGTTCGCTGCTCTCAGCTACGAGGCGATGAATTACTTATAACCTCCTGGATCTTTCCTCTTCCCTTGCCGATCCATCTCGTGTACACACGCGTGTGTCAGTCCACCCCCACACGCTCGAGCTTTTCCCCTTTGCTCTTTGTTTTACCCTGGCCGCATCCGTTTCGCCGTCTTCGAGTATTTATAAACTCGCCGATAGGCGAGCGTGCAAGCGAATATTCCGCGAGTTCACGCAGCCGATCGCGTTTATTTATTCAGCCGTTTGCACTTGCCGGGGACGAATCATAGCCAGGTGGGCGTGTATTAACGGCGTTGCAAGTTTCACGAGGGCCGATGTGCCAAACTCGATCCACCGGATCGTGTTTTCGATCACGTTTGTAAATCGTTCGTTATGCATGGTTAGACGAGCCGAGAGTTCACGAGGAATGAATTTTAATCCTTTAAAAAATAAGGAACTATCCTATTTCAAATTCCTAAACCCTTTTCGCGATAAAAATGAATAATTAATTAATCAAAGTGAACTCTACGCAGTAGAGATTCACTACGAAATCTCTGTAGATCTTTTTTATAAATCCTCCAAATTGTCCTTTTCCCTCGACTCGTACTTCTGGTATCATCGTCCCCCTGCAGACTTCGTCATTCAACGTCCTAATATAAATAAATGCACACCAGTCGACGGCCGTTAACCGTTAATGACGAGAGTCGGCCGTCATCAACGAGGAGAAAACGCTTACGGGCTTGGTGGTGGTGCAAAAAGGAAGTTCAGCTTCGGTTAGGGTGGCGTGTGGGGAGCAAAGTCGCTTTCTACGCGACAACGGATGAAAAAAAAGAAGAGAAGAGCCGGATAAAATGTGACCTAACTGAGATCAGACAGAGAGGCAGAGGCAAACCGGGGGTGGTTGGTAGGTTGAACGGTTAGGAAGGGTGCAACGGCTGGCACATCGACACACGCAGACGCAGTTATCTGTTCCAATTAACCTCTTACATTTCGTTCCCTTCCACTAAATCCCTCTTCTTCTATCCCGTCCTCTGGTTGCTGCTTCTACGCCCTCTTCACTCCACCCTTCGATCTTCTGCTTTCCCATCTAGTCCTCTGCTCGCCCTGTCCACGGTCTGGAACGTTGAAATTGAATCGACGCTCCGCGTCCCGTGTCCTTCGAATTGAACACGCGGTTAAGTATTCTTTCTCTACGAACGTGGATTTTGTGAAATGTACCGGGGATGATCGGTACCTGCCGAAATATGAACAAAATTTAATATAGTATCTCTTTTTATTAAATGAACCATTTGTAAGAAACACTGGAAAATTTTCAAAACTCTATTCCATTTCCCCAAATTGATTTAAGTCAATTCTTTTATCCTTAGGCCGATGAGTTTTCGTTGTTTTAATGATGTTTTCTTTTCAGGTAAGTCTACTGTTCGCATGGAGTTCTTTTCTCGTGATCGAAGAGAGTGGTATGTACTTTTTTGTTCTTTATATTATAAAGTTACATGTATTTGATTTCATTGATTGAAATTGTAGATATTATACATTTGTATATGTATATTATGGTTGAGGATCGATGGCGAGCGATATCGGGAACCGTGGAACAGACGCAAATTAATTGGTTATGGAAATACGGTTTTAAGCCATGAAAAATGGAATATTAATTAGAATGTTTCATTTTCTCTTGCGTTATATTTTTTCTGCCTTCTGGTTTATCCATTTTTCAATTGATTGCAATTAATGTTAGGAGAATTTGGTTCTTTGAATATTTAATTCGAATCTCACATAACAATTCTATTTCAAATAGAATTCGAGAGGTAGTTTAGACTTAGATATTGCATTAAGTAATTGGAGTACTATGTCCATCCAAACTGTTGTTTGTAGATGAAAATTCAAACAATACAACAATTTGAATCGTTTAATCTAATAATAGATGGTTGTGATATTTTAGTGATTAAATTACTATCCAAATGTTAAATAATCAGTGTGCAAACACGTTAATCTAAAAATGGCAGAACGAGCGAATAAAGTGTCCGTCTTTGAATGTTTTAAATTATCCTAAAAGGTAGAATTTTCAACAAAGAAAAAGGCGTTCTACATTTTCAAGGACTCGTTATTTTTAAATTTCACAATGCTCCGACATCTCTTTAACCGTTCCAAAAATGCAATTGCGGTCTCGCGTTTGTGCAGTCTAGGTCTTCTCGCGACAACATATTAAGCAGCGTGAGTTGCAAATACGAGACGCATTAAGTAAGCGAATAAAGTATTCCGTTGCATGCATGTAACACACGTTCTGTTTCTCGTTTTCGTGCGACGTGCACCACCGCGACATATTTCGTATGTAATTCTTATGCAAGATTGCCGTGCGCGTCCGCTAGGGGAAAATTAGTGACGGACCCTAGGGATAAAATTACTGACGACTGCTGGGGACGAAGTTAGCGATGCCCCGTTAGGGATGAAATTAGAGAGGACCACCAGGGACTGGATTAGGGATGCATACAGGAAACAACGTTAATGATGGCCATCGATTGTAAACGAAAACGAATATGAAACGAATTTTGGCTGAAAAATTGAATTTTTGTAAACGATCGAAATTAATCGTCCACCGACGTTTGCAAGGCTACGAATACAAAATCGTCCTCAAGTATTTCGGTGTAATCGAAGCGGAACACGTTGTTCCTCGGTTTTGGACAAAAGTCATGACGTATGCAAAACAAGAAGTGCATAATATTTCCGGTGCCACGTGCAGGGGAAACGGCAGCACCACGAAGAGTAGTGACCGGTCGGCAGCGTCACGTCGTCGGATCAATATCGGCCGGGAATAGAAAACAGAGAGGACGAAGAGGGAAAAGCGAGGAAGGACCGTGTGTAGCTGGACAAGGAAGCGTAAACGAGGCGACGTTGCTCGACTGATCGAATTTTTTTTTTTCTTTTTTTTTTGGAACGGACAACTTGCACACGCCAACTCTTGACCGCGTCCAACTTTTCTCAGACTGATCAATTTTTCCATGCGATCCAGTTTTTCCGTGCCGACGTAGCCCAGACTGCATGAAAATCGCGTAAAGTTCGCAGTGATCGAAATTTTTCGACCCACTCGAATACGAAGTAGCGGGGGAGAAAATAGAGAATACTTTCGTCGGGACAGTTTGCAAGCCTGCTACCACGTACTAGGAAATATCTAGGGAATTCGACATTTTCGTTTCAATTCTGACGTTCTTCGAGCTTGCCACGCTTACCCGAGACTTTGAGTTTGATCGAATTCGTCGCTGAAAGGGGGAAGGAAGTTTCCGGGAACGTTGAAGAAGAAAACGGCGTCGGGGAAAAATGGGCCAACTGTCGTTTTATTAAAATTCCCTGTTTTCGAAGGATTTTAGTTGCGACGCGCAGCTTACATAAAGATCTTTCGGTTTCATTGTACCACGAGTCGAACTTAAAAACTTGTCGGTTTAAAAGCTTATTAATTTTTAATATAAAAAAATCGGTTTATATTCTTTGCGGAGAAAATGATATTAAGATGGTCGTTTTTTTTTTTCTTGCCTAAGCCATAGAATCATTTTCTTTCGCCAATTTCCTCTATCTTCGCTCGGAAGAGCGCTATATAAGCTCGCCCTACTTTCTAGAATTACCGTGTATAAACTGTGGCGGGAAAGATGGTTGCTCCCTGAAAGTCTGTGGAAAAGCGTAGAGCAAAGGGAGCGACAGAACGAAAAAGAAAAAAGTCTGTTTAATGGACTTGTCAGTAAGGTGAGCTAGCAGTTCCATCTGGAAACAGTTGGTGTTAGGAAAACGATCTCTTTGAACGAATCGTTAATTAGCACTAGGATATACAAACACGGAGTGCTATAAAACCTCTCTCTTTTTTATTATATAATCAAAACGAAAATCTCGGCTGTAAAGGCCTTCTGTAAATATTAGATAATCACATATTCGATGGGTGATTTCAAAACGTAGAAAAGTTTTTTTATTTGAAAATCTGAGTGCTTAATTTCAGTCAATATTTGATATTTCATAATTTTGGGTCACGAATAAGATCCTTCACCCTTATCGTTCCAACGATTTAAAAAAAAAGAATGGAAGCTCGCGATTCCGTTTGAAAAGCTAGAGTGAAAACCGTGGCTGTTCGTCCAAGTATGCGAACAGCATGGTGCACGAGCGTTAGCCCGAAGCGAAAACTGTACACAGTCGAGGTTCCATCAAGAATTCGCTCAAAGGAGGATCGTAGAAGGCTGGTAGAGTGACAAACGACTGGAAGTCGGTTGCTTGCGAGTTTCGACTCTCGCGGATTCGACCGGCATGATTAATGCAAACCTTTCCACGAGCAGACGTTTCCCAATGACAGCGGACACGGTTCTAAAATTTCTCGCCACGCTTCTCATAACCCTCGTTCTCCGCCGTTCGGAACAGACAGGGGCAAGGAATAGGTAAGACTAAAGGGAGGAAAAAGAAAAGAAGAGAGCGCATCGTGGGCGCGGAACGGTATAAATAGATAATGCGATGGACAAACGTCTGGGAAAGGGGTTGCCGCGGTTGGTTGGCCAGACTGGCCCACCGAGAATAATGATCCTAGTTAATACTGTTTCAGGGTTCTCAAGTTTCGTTAATATCGTAGATAGCTTATTATGAATTCGAGTTTAGATGAAATTGATTACACGAGATGAAAAGATTCTGGAATTTGAAACGTACACGTTATTCAACTTACATCGCGGACGAATACAAGTTAGTAGTGAATTCACCAATAGCCTGTTATACGACAAGTTCTTGGTATTAACTCTTCATTATAACCTCGAAGATTACGTTTCGAAACTAATCTGAAACTCACATTGAGGTATGAAACGCATTACGAGATTGCGCGATCCATATAATACCACCCATGAAGTCTGATAGTCTACGGTTGTCAATCACTTTACGACACATACAGATTAGTTGTTAATGATGTACTTACAGGAGAATATAACGCAAAGTCTCCTTCGTCCTTGAATCACATTTATTTCAAACATTTAATCCTTCAGGAGGGCAAGCATATTTTTTGCAACTTCATTGAGTAACCTGGATCGTTTATGTTTAGGATTAATTTTTTTACTGTTCTTGACTTTCGGAACAAATTCTCGAATACTTATTGAGAACTCTACTTTAATATATAATCGTTCTTTGCGTTAAATATTTAAAGGATTAATTGGAAAAAGTTGGAATTCGTTTCAGACAAACGACCCGGTTTGCTCTCAAAAGGTTAAATCTAATGATTAATCTTTCAAAATTTAAATATCTAATTAACGCATTAACGCATTAAATATCTAGTAACGCGATTAACAGTATTAACGCATACACAATACAGTTCCCAGATATGTAAACACGTTCATAGGGCTTAAAGGTTTAGACAACGACGATGATATCTTCACTTTGCGCGTGTTTTAATCAACTCCAATATCATTTCTACTCGTACATTTAACTAACTACCAGTTTTCAACTCGCATTCAGTGTAACTTTCGTACGCCCGATGCTTGAATCTCGTTTTCGAATCCGCGGCAACGAGTTTCAGTGTTTGCACTTCGAAAATATACAATGATATAAATGTGGGAAAACGATGAGACGACCACGGGTATCGTATAATTGTGCCTCTTGTTGCGTTGGTAACTTTTAACGATGTGCGTGTGTATTCAACAAGTTCTTTTTTTTTTTATCATCCTGCACACAATCCCGTTGATATTTATTGGATGAAGCTGCAACAACTGCAGTTATTCTTCTTGTTTATACGAAACAATAATTCCTTCTACTTCCATCTCTCGAGAGAGTAACAATTTTGCTAATATGGACACTTCAGCAAACAGAAATTTAATTTTTATCAAAGAGGTATTATAAAAGTCTTGAAAAGTGTTTTGAGGAAAACAGTACAGTTCAACGAGGTTAATGATGAGCAGTTCCCGGTAGAAAAAAAAAAATGGTCGCATCTCTGAATAAATCAGAGCGGAACGCATGGTCGCTTACACGACACGGCTAACGAACCTACTTCGTGGAAAAATAAGGGGTTGAAAGAATAATCGATCATACTTACGTGCAGGCTATACGAGCCTGACCTAGGACAATCGACCGAGGCGCCACGATATTTTCTCAATGTCCCTCGTGAAAGAACAGTCGTTCCGCGGTAACGTCGCTGCAACGTGTCGTAAATTGCTTTAATAAACTATGAATCGATCGATTCAATGGCTGATAGTAATTTACGGTACGTCCTGTGTTTACGGACACCGCCACCGATGACTATAACCGATAGTTGAACGTGATTTTCCATAATCGACCCTTAGATTTTTATTTCTTAACGACTCTGCTGCAATCAATTCGCTGCTTTAATTTCCAGGAAAATGATGAAAATAGAAATATTCTATATGATTTTATTTCGGAAACTTTCAATTTTATGAACATTGTTTAAACTATATATCAAGTTATTAATTGAAAATAAATTGAATATCAAGCCTGTTTTCACCAGAAAAGCTCGACTGGAAAAGCAGACGCTGAAAGAGGAAATACATCAACTCGATGTGAAAAATGTTTTTCATTCGCGTTGTAAAGCCAGTCAAGTATTTTATATAGGGAATAAACAGAAGCTGGACGTTCTATCGACGGATTCTCGGTGTTTTTTCTCCCTAATCCCATCAAATAGGTTGGCCTTTCGCGTGGCAACGCAACGCAACGCACCGTTGGAATTTCGAAATTGACAGGATTAAATTCCCCTTTAATTTCCTCGTGGCTGCGAGTAGCGGTGGACGCTTCGTCGTAATGAAACGAACGCCTGCCTCGTAACAATACGCGCTCGCGTTTAGCTCGCGGACAGCCGGCGATTTCGAGCCGGCAGCGGTGCCGGTGTAGGTGTATTTGGAGAACGCCACGTGAATTCGGTGACAGCGAAGCAATATGTATCCGCACGGTCGGCCAACCGTTAATATCGTCAAACGAACGTGACGATACACCCGCGACCGACGAAATACTCGCTGCTGTAACGTAAATATGACGCGAATAACACCCCCCTTTCGCTATCGATTGCCAACACGCCCCGTAATATGCGACCGACCTCGAGCCGTCACACCGTTTTACCCGCTGTGATCACCGACGCCAATTATGATCATGATCGCGTTCGCTAATGAATTTTCGATCCTCTTTTGAGCTACGCTTTAATAGAAGCCCGACAGCGTTAGAAATTTGTCTTTGAGCGCTTTGCTTTCAAACACGCTTGAAATTCTTCATTTCACAGCGCAGGTTAACGACAACCCTTAAATCTTTTCTTTCGAGTCTTTCAATTACCCTTCGCTTCTTATTTGTCTGTTAAACGCTATTCGCTTTATTCGGCGTAATTACAATACGTACACTTCAAGTACTCCACGTTTCGCTGAAGCGAAGTAAATCGAGCCGAACAGGTCATCGAACGTCCGTTACTCTATCCGCCACCCCCTCGCGCTCGATTTCGCAGCACACCGTATCCTGGGGTAGAAAAGAAAATTGCCAACAGGTAGGAGAAAGAGAGACGTCTCTACCTTTCGTTGAGATTTCTCGAGGGACGGTTGCTGTGCTCCAGGCACGGTAACGACGACTCGTCGGAGCGCGTGACGTTCGCCCGCGGCTGAAAATAAATTAATCGCGTGCGAGTAGATGAGCCAGCAACGCGTTTGCGACGTCGGCCGTGTAATTTTCTAACAGGTAGAAAATTCTGTTGGCCCAACGTAGAGACGGCAAACGACCAGGGAGAGAAACGTGTGCGCCTGTGTGTATATTGGCGAGAAACCAGCTAGCGTAATAGTGGTAGAATAGAAGAGGAAAAATGGTGGAGGAAAGGGATGTAAAACGGGGGTGGGATCACGTGAGCTCATAGAACGAGCATAATACCATCATTAGGAGGGCGTCGCCGGATTCTTCCGGCATACAAAACTCGACACGAGGCGAGGGCTGGAACCGCTCTCTCGAGTCACGTGTACAGTGAGGAACAAAAGTGTAATGAATCAACAGAAATTTGCATAAAATGTAGGTAAAATATATTATTTCTCAGTTTTTAAAACTATTTACGGCAATGCCTCTATAGTGGACGCACTTCGAGATCACGTCGCGTCTACTAACGAGGGAAGTAGATATTCTGGGAATTGTTGGCTCTTTAAGAAAAATAAGAAACAATAATCAAAAAAAGAAAAAAGCATTGAAAGCTCGCTCGCCTGAAACAGTTTTGAAAAATGATGAGGATGACCCTGCGTCTACTATAGAAACAAAAATGTGTCTACTATCGGGACGTTATTATACAAATTGAATTTTGTCTTATTTCGTGTTAATACTTATCTATACGAATGATAATTTTCCGCGAAAACAGTATTATTCGTTCAGTTCTGCCTTTTCATTGTAAATAAGATTTGAAAGGGGCGTAGAGGAGGTAGGGAATCCTCTGCTCGATTTTGCTGGCAGTTTGCGAGAATAATATCTTGAACGAGCAGGAGAAAGCACGAGGCGAAGGGGGAAAGAGAAGAACTGGCTCGATAATTAATTGGCTTCGCATAAGCTTCG